ATATATATATATATATATATATATATAATCAGGAACACCAAAACTCAAGCTACCGTTTTGATTTTTGGAATTTTTTTTTATTTTTTAACTTGATACATATTTACTTATGATATTTACAAAGTAAGCTTTTGTTTATCGTCACTTGCCTTGACTAAGCAATTATATTATTGCTATTATATCAAGCAACTAGCGAAAAAAATTAAAACGTTACTCAGGATAGAAATGCTTAAATAATTTCTATACATTAAAATTAATTTATGGAGTGATAGATAATAGGGTGAAAGAGAGTATTCGACAGAAAATATTGGTGAATTCTTTATTCCATTTTCTATAATAAGATTGATCTATGTATAGCTGGCCACTCGTATTCGAGGCTAGCCGTCTACTAGGGTGGCTAGCCAATCCCTATTGCGCTCAGGCGCATTTGTGTTTTTTCAACACCCACAGAGTCCACCTGTTGTTTATACTGCAACTATGCTCAGCAGACATTAGTTATAGTTTCTTGGAAAAAGCGTGTTATCTAGTGTTATCAACAATTTGAACACGGCCAACACGCTCAAGCTCTCGGCCACGATGACTTGTGACTTCGTGTTAGCACAGCTATCGACGGCCTCCAAGGTTGCGCCTATCTAATTTCACTCATTAGGCTTGGGTCAACCGGTCGTATGATTTTCAGGTACATTCCAAAGGTGTCGAACGCTGGGAACGACCCCTCTAGTCCGATAACATTAGGAAGTCTCCTTACTGACAAATCGACCATGCTGAGATTCGAAACCGGGACTCATGGTCAGAATGCGAACGTTCTAACCACTCGGCCACGTATTTGTATAACATTTGGTTAAAAAACATGACCTTGCAAGGGTGATTGCTGGGGGTAAAGGAGTGAATGTGAAAACATAAGCAACACGTAGGAGAAAAACAGAACTATGTTATATTAAATAATCTTAGATATCAACGACTTTATAAAATATAGAAGCAAACATGATTGTGTAGGAACTGCAGCACACTAGTAATTATGCAAACCACTTAAGATTCGGTGACATAGATGAAAAGGAAAAAAAAAAAAACAGACGCTATCTGAAGGTAATCGATATCTTCAGTCCCTAATTTCATTAGGAATCATCTGAAATGGAAAAATGGGCGCTGAAGAGACCGATGATATTTATTGGCATCTAACGATAAAAGATTCAAGTAAGTCGTCCCTGCCCAGTTTTGATCGTATCAAGTTATTTTATGCGATGTCGTCTATCCTTGCTCGAGTGTGTTTTTAATAATGCTACGGGACAGAGTGTCATATCTGGTGACGTCCGAACTAACCCAGGTTTCATCGTTTAAGAGTCGACAAAAGTATCCGCGAGAATAGCAAAGAGCAGATTCTTTCTTCGAAAAAGTTGACCGAATCCAGACCCCACAAAATCTAATCTTCGTCAAGAAAGGAAAGAAAATATATCAACGTCCCGGGTTTTAAACTAAAAGTGAATAAATATTTGGAAATATTGATAGATCTTGTTTTTTTTTTGTGTTGTTACATAAGCAAAGAGTGTGTTGGCAGTGGGAGCAAAAACCTAACCGATTGCTCTCCCTCCACCAACTGGGATAATAAACAGATAGGGGAAAGAGACGGGGGGGTATAAAAAATAACACTGGCTCGGAAACCACTGCAACTTTAAGAACAAACTACCCACGGGACCGATTTAACAATACCCCCTCTCTTTCCAACTACAGGTTTTCCCGTCGCTTTTATTGGCATGAGGCATCTTACAAAGACCCGGATCTTGACCATTTGCAAAGAGGCCCGTATCTAGGCATGCCAAGTTGTCCTGCTGCTAGCGGTGAAAACCCGGATGTAACTGGTGGTGACAAACATGTTTACATGTGATCCGGGGACTCTTTTGCGTCTGTACTGACGCGCGTTCGCCAAATTTTTATTTCGGAATAACAACGTTGACAGGAAAGCAAGAAGATGTAACAGAGTTTCAAAAAGTGATAGGACAAACTCCTAGAATAGAAGTTACGGTTAGATTTATTCACTTCAACTGGAAACTGAATGCATGATAGTTCAGAGATGATAAAGACAAATCTGTGTAGAAGCATGGTAGCCTATATCTTGAAGAGATATCGCATTAAAAAAAGTATCTGTCAAATAAATGCCCAATCGGGTTCAGATGATGGAAGAACAAAAGCTCATTTGATAGCAATGCAACAACTTAAACCCCAATGTCGAGAAATCTAATTTTGGGAAATGCTTTGAATAAAAAAAAAGTTTTATAAATTTTAACCGAAAGTAACGTAAACAATTATTGTGTCCTGTGTCGTTTCAGGATCCCCACTATACTAAATAAAATGGTAGCAAGGAAAAGGGTCATTTACTTTTGGTATTCGTTTTATTAAGTGTGGCAGCTTGGATTCTGATCTCATAGGAATGCATGTCTCACCTCAGCTCATCGTCCCTCCGAGGTGGGAGTCTTACGGTATGGGTGGCATATCGACGCTTCAGAATTATTGAGGACTTATATTCAAAACCCAAACAAAGTCAACGCATCACTGTCAGTATACCCCGCCAAAAGGCACCCCAGCCAATCGCTGAGCATTCTGGCCATGGCCTTGGCTCTTTAACGCAATGAATGTCGAACGTTTCCTGTATGGGAACGGTTATTTTCGCCATAATCATAACTTAACCATTACCATACTCCACTTCTGTATGCACCGTTTCTGACAGGCTCTCTGGATATAAATGATCAAATAGCGTCGATTGAGCTGTCATTTGACTTAGGCTTGAATTTATTATTATGTATGTAAAGTAGTTATCCGCCCGCTCGTCTAGTTAGCAGTGCAAATAAAACATATCCGAGTAGAATGACAGGGAAATGCTTGAAGGCGATTAATACTGTCAGGAGAGAGAATCATATCAAAATGGCGCGGCTTTGAGAGACATGGAATGAGATGAAGTGCCGAGACGATGATCTGTCATTTGAAAATAAAATAAAACGATGCCGCTTTGGGAGAAAAAAAAAAGAAAAAGAAAGTAAATGAAAATCGCGGAGAATTGGGAGAGTAAAAGAATGGAAGAGAGAGAGAGAGAGAGAGAGAGAGAGAGAGAGAGAGAGAGAGAGATGAAGGAGAGGAAAATAATATGAAAGCCGGAAGAAGAGAGAGGATGTGAGAGATTAAAAGCGTAAATAGAATGAAATGATAGAAGGGAGAATAATAAAAAGAGGAAGTAAAGATTAAGTGAGGGGGCGAAATACGAGAACACCGAAGATAACCATTAGGTTATTGGAGAATTTAAAATACAATATTCGTCTGGTATGAACGGAATGAAATGGTAGTCGTAGCAAGAGAGAAGAGAAAGATCTGGAGGACGGAAAGTGTGCCACTGAAATCCGAAGTTGTATCGGGATAGCCAAGGAAGCACTCCAAAAGAAATCAGAATACAGAGTAATAAATAAAAAAAAAAAACTCCGCGAGAAACAAAGACAATAGGATTAAAATATTCCGTGATATCTGCCAGCCTGTATGGCAGTGAGTGCTGGACACTCTCCTCAAAGAAGAAGAAGAAGAGACTTGAAGCAACAGAAAGGTGACTCTAGAGAATAATGCTGAAGATAATATGGAATGAATATGTGAGCAGAGACGAAGTTTTTGAGAAAATGGAAACAAAAAAGGTAACTTAACATCAGAAAGATACAGTTGTTCTTAAAATTGCACTGGTTTCCGAGCCAGCGTCATTTTTTATACCCAACGTCCCCATCTGCCTATTATCCCCGTAGATGGAGGGAGAGCAATCGGTTACGTTTTTACTCCCACTGTCAACATACTCTTTGCTTATATTACAACACACACACACACAAAAAAAATTTTTTATTCACTTTTAATTTAAATCCCGGAACGTTGATATATTTTCTTTCCTTTCTTGACAAAGATTAGATTTTATGTGGTTTCTGGGGTACATAATGAAGAAATAAAGCTTGTAAAATCTGATACTCACAGGACAGATAGAAGGTAATAGGGATAGAAGAAAAAAAACCCATAGCCTACTTGGTGTGCTTGAGTAAATAGCTGGCGTGATAGGGTTTAGGAGGAATAACAGAAAAACAAAGTTTATTAAGACCCACAAAGGAAGTTGTGGAGAGTCATGATTGCCTATATCTTGAGTGTACACGGCACGTAAAGAAGAATTAAAACAATCCACAACTTGGAAGAAACCGATTGCATACGTATAGAAAATGAATTTAGCAAGAAACAGAAAGGGACGTAAGACAAGGATACGACTTCTCCTCGGATTTATTCAATCTAGACGATCAGGCAATCCTAAGAGAGCCAGAAGTTCTATAATGATTTATTGACACGAAATTATAGATAATTTCGTCGAATCAGGAATCAAGGGACTCAAAGAGTAAACAAGCAAAAGACAATCGAAAAATGAAGAGACCCAAAGAGTTCAAACAACGCCGAAATCAAGAGATCAATGTCGATTCAAGAGATCCAAAATGCCGAAATCAAGAAGAGATGCCGAAATCAAGAGATCCAAAGAGTTCTGCCGAAATCAAGAGATCTAAAGAGAAAATCCGATCATCGACTCGACTCCGAAATCAAGAGATCAAAGTACACAACATCGATGCCGAAATCAAGAGACCCAAAAAGAGTACAACATCCACTCCGGACAAAGAAACATAGCATCGACTCTGAAATCAAGAGACCCAAACAGCATCGATGCACAGATCATCGATCGACTCCGAAATCAAGAGATCCAAAGAGTACACAGCATCGATGCCAAACTCCGAAATCAAGAGATCCAAAGAGTACACAGCATCGATGCCGAAATCAAAGAGATCCAAAGAGCATCGACTCCGAAATCAAGAGATCCAAAGAGTACACAGCATCGATGCCGAAATCAAGAGACCCAAAGAGTACACAACATCGACTCCGAAAAGAGATCAAAGAGTACACAGCATCGATGCCGAAATAAAAGAGTACACAGCATCGATGCCGAAATCAAGATCCAAAGAGTACACAGCATCGATGCCGAAATCAAGAGACCAAAGAGTACACCGAAATCAAGAGATCCAAAATCAACAGCATCGACTCCGAAATCCCAAAGAGTACACAGCATCGACTCCGAAATCAAGATACCAATAGAGTACACAACATCCACTCCAAAGACCCAAAGAATACACAGCATCGACTCCGAAATCAAGAGACCCAAAGAGTACACAGCATCGACGCCGAACTCAAGAGACCCAAAGAGTACACAGCATCGACTCCGAAAGCAAGAGACCCAAAGAGTACACAACATCCACTCGAAATCAAGAGACCCAAAGAAATCGACAAAATCAAGAGACCCAAAGAGTACAACATCGACTCCGAAATCAAGAGACCCAAAGAGTACACAGCATCGACTCCGAAATCAAGAGACTCAAAGTGTACAAACATCCACTCCGAAATCAAGAGACCCAAGGAGTACAGCATCGACTCCGAAATCAAAGAGACCCAAAGATCATCGACTCCGAAATCAAGAGACCAAAAGAGTACACAGCATCGACTCCGAAATCAAGAAACCCAAAGAGTACACAGCATCGACTCCGAAATCAAAGAGACAAAGAGAGTACAACACGAAATCAAGAGATCCAAAGAGTACACAGCATCGACTCCGAAATCAATCGAGAAATCAAAATCCAAAGAGTACACAGCATCGATGCCGAAATCAAGAGATCCAAAAGTACACAACATCGATGCCGAAATCAAGAGATCCAAAGAAGATCGATCCGAAATCAAGAGATCCAAAGAGTACACAGCATCGATGCCGAAATCAAGAGATCCAAAGAGTACACAGCATCGAGAGTACACAGCATCGACTCCGAAATCAAGAGATCAAAGAGTACACAGCATCGCATCGATGCCGAAATCAAGACTCCAAAATCAAGAGATCCAAAGAGTCCAAAAATCAAGAGACCCAAAGAGTACAACATCCACTTCGAAATCAAAAGAGATCCAAAGAGTGCACAGCATCGATGCCGAAATCAAGAGATCCAAAGAGTACACAGCATCGATGCCGAAATCAAGAGATCCAAAGAGTACACAGCATCGATGCCGAAATCAAGAGATCCAAAGAGTACACAGCATCGATGCCGAAATCAAGAGATCCAAAGAGTACACAGCATCGACTCCGAAATCAAGAGATCCAAAGAGTACACAGCATCGATGCCGAAATCAAGAGACCCAAAGAGTACACAACATCCACTCCGAAATCAAGAGACCCAAAGAATACATAGCATCGACTCCGAAATCAAGAGACCCAAAGAGTACACAGCATCGATGCCGAAATCAAGAGATCCAAAGAGTACACAGCATCGACTCCGAAATCAAGATATCCAAAGCCGAAATCAAGAGATCCAAAGAGTACACAGCATCGATGCCGAAATCAAGAGATCCAAAAAGTACACAGCATCGATGCCGAAATCAAGAGATCCAAAGAGTACACAACATCGATGCCGAAATCAAGAGATCCAAAGAGTACACAATCGATGCCGAAATCAAGAGATCCAAAGAGTACAAAGATCGACTCCGAAATCAAGAGATCCAAAGCATCGACTCAAAATCCAATAGAGTACACAACATCCACTCCAAATCAAGAGTACACACAGCATCGACTCCGAAATCAAGAGACCCAAAGAGTACACAGCATCGACGCCGAACTCAAGAGACCCAAAGAGTACACAGCATCGACTCCGAAATCAAGAGACCCAAAGAGTACACAACATCCACTCCGAAATCAAGAGACCCAAAGAGTACACAACATCCACTCCGAAATCAAGAGACCCAAAGAGTACACAGCATCGACTCCGAAATCAAGAGACCCAAAGAGTACACAGCATCGACTCCGAAATCAAGAGACCCAAAGAGTACACAACATCGACAAATCAAGAGACTCAAAGTGTACGATCCACTCCGAAATCAAGAGACCCAAAGAGTACACAGCATCGACTCCGAAATCAAGAGACCCAAAGAGTACACAGCATCGACTCCGAAATCAAGAGACTCAAAGTGTACACAACATCCACTCCGAAATCAAGAGACCCAAGGAGTACACAGCATCGACTCCGAAATCAAGAGACCCAAAGAGTACACAGCATCGACTCCGAAATCAAGAGACCAAAAGAGTACACAGCATCGACTCCGAAATCAAGAAACCCAAAGAGTACACAGCATCGACTCCGAAATCAAGAGACCCAAAGAGTACACAACATCCACTCCGAAATCAAGAGATCCAAAGAGTACACAGCATCGACTCCGAAATCAAGAGATCCAAAGAGTACACAGCATCCAAAAGATCACAGCATCGATGCCGAAATCAAGAGATCCAAAGGGTACACAGCATCGATGCCGAAATCAAGAGATCCAAAGAGTACACAGCATCGATGCCGTAATCAAGAGATCCAAAGAGTACACAGCATCGATGCCGAAATCAAGAGATCCAAAGAGTACACAGCATCGATGCCGAAATCAAGAGATACAAAGAGTACACAGCATCGACTCCGAAATCAAGAGATCCAAAGAGTACACAGCATCGATGCCGAAATCAAGAGATCCAAAGAGTACACAGCATCGACTCCGAAATCAAGAGATCCAAAGAGTACACAGCATCGACTCCGAAATCAAGAGACCCAAAGAGTACACAACATCCACTTCGAAATCAAGAGATCCAAAGAGTACACAGCATCGATGCCGAAATCAAGAGATCCAAAGAGTACACAGCATCGATGCCGAAATCAAGAGATCCAAAGAGTACACAGCATCGATGCCGAAATCAAGAGATCCAAAGAGTACACAGCATCGATGCCGAAATCAAGAGATCCAAAGAGTACACAGCATCGATGCCGAAATCAAGAGATCCAAAGAGTACACAGCATCGATGCCGAAATCAAGAGACCCAAAGAGTACACAATCAAGAGCATCGATGCCGAAATCAAGAGACCCAAAGAGTACACAACATCGATGCCGAAATCAAGAGATCCAAAGACACACATCGACTCCGAAATCAAGATATCCAAAGTGTACACCCCGAAATCAAGAGATCCAAAGAGTACACAGCATCGATGCCGAAATCAAAGAGATCGATGCCGAAATCAAGAGATCCAAAGACACAGCATCGATGCCGAAATCAAGAGATCCAAAGAGTACACAGCATCGACTCCGAAATCAAGAGATCCAAAGAGTACACAGCATCGACTCCGAAATCAAGATACCAATAGAGTACACAACATCGACTCCGAAATCAAGAAACCCAAAACACAGCATCGACTCCGAAATCAAGAGACCAAAAGAGTACACAACATCGATGCCGAAATCAAGAGATCCAAAGAGTCAAATCGACTCCGAAATCAAGAGATCCAAAGAGTCGCATCGACTCCGAAATCAAGAGATCCAAAGAGTACACAGATGCAAATCGAGATCCAAAGAGTGCCGAAATCAAGAGATCCAAAGAGTACACAGCATCGATGCCGTAATCAAGAGATCAAAGAGTACACAACATCGATGCCGAAATCAAGAGATCCAAAGAGTACACAGCATCGATGCCGAAATCAAGAGATCCAAAGAGTACACAGCATCGACTCCGAAATCAAGAGATCCAAAGAGTACACAATCGATGCCGAAATCAAGAGATCGACTCCGAAAATCAAGACATCCAAAGAGTACACAGCATCGACTCCGAAATCAAGAGACCCAAAGTACACAACATCCAAAATCATCCAAAGAGTACACAACATCGATGCCGAAATCAAGAGATCAAAGAGACACAGCATCGATGCCGAAATCAAGAGAGATCAAGAGTACACAGCATCGATGCCGAAATCAAGAGATCCAAAGAGTACACAGCATCGATGCCGAAATCAAGAGATCCAAAGAATACACAGCATCGACTCTCTCAAGAAAAAGAGTACAAGCATCGATGCCGAAATCAAAGACCCAAAGAGTACACAACATCCACTCCGAAATCAAAGAGACCCAAAGACCCAAAGCATCGACTCCGGGAAATCAAGAGACGACTCGATGCCGAAATCAAGAGATCCAAAGTACACAGCATCGACAAATCATCGACTCCGAAATCAAGAGACCAAAAGTGTACAGCATCAAATCAAGAGATCCAAAAGTACACAGCATCGATGCCGAAATCAAGAGATCCAAAGAGGCACAGCATCGATGCCGAAATCAAGAGACCCAAAGAGTACACAGCATCGACTCCGAAATCAAAGAGACCAAAATCAAGAGTACACAGCATCATCGACTCCGAAATCAAAGAAACCCAAAGAGTAAAGAATACACAGCATCGACTCCGAAATCAAGAGACCCAAAGAGTACACAACATCGACGCCGAAATCAAGAGACCCAAAGAGTACACAACATCCACTCCGAAATCAAGAGACCCAAAGAGTACATAGCATCGACTCCGAAATCAAGAGACCCAAAGAGTACACAACATCCACTCCGAAATCAAGAGACCCAAAGAGTACACAGCATCCACTCCGAAATCAAGAGACCCAAAAGAGACTCCAAATCAACATCCACATCCTCCGAAATCAAGAGACCAAAGAGTACATAGCATCGATTCCGAAATCAAGGGACCTAAAGAGTACATAGCATCGACTCCGAAATCAAGAGACCCAAAGAGTACACAACATCCACTCCGAAATCAAGAGACCAAAGTGTACATAGCATCGACTCCGAAATCAAAGACATAGCATCGAAAATCAAGTACATAGCATCGACTCCGAAATCAAGAGACCCAAAAGAGACCCAAAAGTGTACACAACATCGACGCCGAAATCAAAAGACCCAAAGATTACACAACATCCACTCCGAAATCAAGAGACCCAAAGAGTACATAGCATCGACTCCGAAATCAAGAGACCCAAAGAGTACACAACATCCACTCCGAAATCAAGAGACCCAAAGAGTACATAGCATCGACTCCGAAATCAAGAGACCCAAAGAGTACACAACATCGACGCCGAAATCAAGAGACCCAAAGAGTACCAAATCAAGATTACACAACATCGACTCCGAAATCAAGAGACCCAAAGATTACACAACATCCACTCCGAAATCAAGAGACCCAAAGAGTACACAACATCGACGCCGAAATCAAGAAATCGAGATAGTAGAGAAGAGAGAATGACATCGACACCGAAATAAAATCAAAGAGTACACAAAAGAGAATGTCGAAATCATGCGACTCTAAGAACGCACTTTAGAGGACAACGTCAACTCCAAAATCAAGAACCTCAACCTGTTCACAGGTCCGAACAAAATCGACTCCTAAATCAAGGGACTCAATGAATACTGAAGATATAACAAAATCGGCTCAGAATTCAAGAGACCTGGAACGCACAAGATAGTCTAACGTCGACTCCGAAATCAAAGAACTCGATGATTACACAAGACAGAATGACGTAAGTGGCAAAAATTGTCCTGCAACGAATCGACGAATGAACACAATCCCAAGAAACAAGAAAATTAAAAACCAAAACATGTCGAAGAAAAACAATTATATAGACACTTCAGGAAACGAATTTCAGTAATGGTAAATAAATATAGATGAACACAACGATATAGATGAAAACTGAAAGGATGCTCTTAACAGCGTTATAAGCATTCATTATAGAAAGATCCGCACGGATAAACAGATGTAAGCTGTGTGTATCACAAAATCAACTATGTAGTTTAGTTATTTAAAATCGAAACAAGAATAAACATTGGTGGGTATAACGGTATTCCACTGGTAACTGTGCAAGCAACTACATTTTCATCATACAAACTAATGGTACAACATAGAACCGAGTCTCTCTTAGGGAAAGAAATACGTAAAACACTATAGAGATTTGACCCCCGATCAAAACCCCTAATCCAGAGCAGATGATCGAATTTAAAAATAGAAAACAAGAAAAATATGTAAGTCAACGTATGTCGATGTTCTGGCAGACGGCAGAGTAGATGAGAACGAAAGTGAAAATAAAAAAGTTAAAATTATAGTATTGCCCCTCGTTATCGTAGAGCCTAAGAAAAAGATTGTTGGAAGTACAAATTTGGGCTGTTGTTGATACCATCCCGATAGTAATTTTACTATAACAAGGATAGTAACTTTACTGTAATAAGGATGTATAATTGAGAAGACTTGCTTTCACCTAGCTACTAGTGGAAGCCACCTGACATTACAAACGGGAATAGTCAATGCTTAAATAATAATGTCACCTTAGAACAATAGAAATAAATTGTATTAAGACCAAAATCGAAAAGTAAATGTCACCTACTTGGGGACAGCTGTGAGGCTATCAATCATATAAGTGAACGCCGTAAATTAGCGCAGATGTTGTATAAACGTAGATATGATAGAGTAGGAAAGGTGGTTCCCCGGGAATTACGCAAACGAGTAAATTTAATAGGGTAGGAAAAATGGCCCACTGGGAATTGGGAAGACGAGTAAATATTACAGGGTAGGAAGGGTTGTCAAGTGGGAATTGCGCAAATGTGTAAATATTACATGATTGGAAAGGTCGTCCACTGGAAATTGCACAAACGAGTGGAATTTGAATGTGCAAACAAACGGAATGTTGGAAAGACAGAATTTTGTCGTCCAGAATTTAAAAAGATCAATTTCTACTGGACTCAAATATATTAACTTCGTCACCCAGTCGGAGATAGATTTTGGCTATGTAAATAACAATACAAGTTCTCTGATAGGAGAGGTTGTTCCAATATATCATAAACTAAGGTTGGAAGGAAATGAAAATCTGTAAAAGTATCTTCCAGGCGAGTTCATCAAGATGTAGAAAATATAGAATATTATGGGAATAGTCTCGAATATGGGCACATGGCCGAGTGTGGAGAACGTTCGTCTTCCAACAATGAGAGACTTTTTTCTATTTTAATAAAAGGATAAATATAGGATAAATATGAAAGCCAAATCCTATAATTCTGCTTTTCCCTTTTTTAGTACGTAGTGTCCCGGTATTACCTCACATAAATAATGGACTATTCTGTTTTGACTGCAAGTAAAAACGGAAGAAAAAGACATATCAGCGACTTTGGTTTTACTGAGGAAAAAAGCTCATGCCGTATAAACTCGCGTATCATGCGACGTGTGAAGACCTAATTTTGAAGATAATTTGACTATAGTAAATGGATATATAGCTTGGCCAACAGCGTAGAAAGGGCCAGTAGTACATACGCTAATTTTATATCTCATGTATTATGCGACCCTCTTAAAATTAACTTCAAAATTAGGTCTTCAAAAGAAGCAGGATACGTGAGTATATACGATACACATTTAAAATGTCTCGTCTGTTTCTTTCAATATATCACTGTCGTTCTCTCATTCTTTCACTATATACCGTTCTTTCTTTGACTCTCTCTCTCTCCCTCTCTCTCTGTATATATATATATATATATATATATATATATATATGCATAGAGAGACAGAGACAGAGAGAAACAGACAGACAAAATAAGAATGAAAAAGGGAGGTAAAAACAAAAAGAATTTCACTTCGTTATCAATAACATACACATACACATTATTATTGGATATAGTTAAGTAAAACATCAGTTTTATCAAAATCATGTTTATTTTAAATATGGCTGTATTTTTGACTAAAGAAAATGGATATATCGTTTGGTCAAAGGTGTAGCCAGGCCCAACAGCACATACGCTAATTCTATATCACGTGTATGATGCGACCTCCTTTAAAATTAGCTTCAAAATTAGGTATTCAAAATTCGCAGGATACGCAAGCATATACGGTACAAAAGAAGAAGAAGAAGAAGAAAAAGAAAAAGAAGAAGAAAGAAAGAGAAAAAGAAAGTGAATATTTAGAAGGTGATAATGCTCTCATGCTTTTAAGATCACCTTAAATGCAATGAAGATCCTTGTCAATCTTGAATCTATTCATTTGAAAATTTTTATTTCTTTACGCAATGATCTACAATCATAGTTATGACTTTTGCTTCAACATTTTGTTAATGATGATAAGCTCAAATACTTAGCAAAGTCGAATTGGCATTGCTATTTTATAGTCGCAGAATTCGCAGGGAGTTTATTCAATCATTAACAAGAATTATGATTCATCAGAAAATTCAAATAGGAAAAATAGTGTTTATTTTAAAGGAAATAATAATAATTATAACACTTGTACAATGATATTCGTCTTGTACAAAGCCCAAGAGCCACTCGATGCCGAGGGTTGCGTAATAAGAAGCAGGGTTTATGGGAACTGTGGGGAAGATAATCGAAAGGCCCAAGACTTGAACAGCTCAAAATTGTACTGATCGGGGAATCATAAATGACGTCGGTTTTGCAAAGCAGCAGTTTGTGGAAAGAATTAGCTCGAGTGGAAGCTACATAGCACCAATAGAATACAAAGGGAACGAGGGCCGTTCACTTCAATTTGCGTAGCTTGGTGGGTCTTAGCCGTGAAGGTTAGACTTGGTGGAACTAAAGAATGTAGTTCGTCTGAACACTTTCCATGAAAATAGTGATAAAGTTGCGAGAGCCTTGCAACTTTCCGTCTGTGGGGAAAGGGGTGGTAAGGTGGAAAATACTTCACCACCTACAAGCACGTGATGACCATTTTGGACTATATTGAAATTGGAAAGTGAAGACTGGGCAGCTCCTGCCCAGATATGACAACAGTACTCGATTTTCGGGCCTGATCTGCCTCTTGTAAAGGTAAACGATAGCAGGAGGAGACAGGTCCTTAATAGAGCAGGGCATAGAACCGATCCTTTTCCCAGCATCTTTAGTGATGTATCATAGGTATGAGTACCACTTGAGGTTTGGGTTGATTTTAGGCGCTCAAGGTACGAGACCTCCCTGAAAGCACACCCGTTCATCGCGAGAGATGAAGATTCAGGGTCCGCCCGGTGATGTTTGAACGTCACTCGTTTGGTTTTCATCCAGAGTCCGCTAAAAATCTCATCAGATGATGATGAAGGTTGGGTTAAAAGAAATGTCTACACGTGACAAAAGTCTATAAAAATGGAGTAAATCATTGTAGATTATATGTACAACGTTGACTATTGACCACTTAGTATCTTTGTATTGACTATTGGCCACTTAGTATCTGTTTGAGCACTATAGAAAAAGTCTAAATTACAAAAAATGAAAATAACACTGACAAGTCACTTTAAGAGATATATTTACCAAAATTACACAAAAAATATTCTGAAAGACTAAAGAGTAAATTTATCCATTAAAATCGCCATTAGCTTCAGCCACGGGCTCCAGCACAAAACCTTCACAACTATAATCAAATCTCGTGCTGGTGTCGGGTTGTCAGTTCCTGGGAGCTGATCTGCTTGACCCTCATACGTCGAATTCGACGAGATAGTCGAGTATATATATATATATATATATATATATATATATATATATATATATATATATATATATATATATATATAGGCGTTTTTTTTTTCAAAAAAAAAAGTCGGAAGACGAAACGCGTCAGCAAAATCTAAGATTTTTTTTCCAATTGTTATACCAATCTGTCTTGTCCACAGAATTGATCTGAATTTAACTATATATATATATATATATATATATATATATATATATATATATATATATATATATATATATATGTGTGTGTGTGTGTGTGTGTAAGGGCCTTGAAATGGAAAGAAAGAAAAAAAAAAAACGTAAGTAGGCATTATGAGAATGAGTGATAATTGTATAAGAAACAATGTGAAGGAAAAAAAAAATGAAAAAATATGAAGGAAAATGAGAATGAAGGAAAAGGAACCAGGAAAATATAGATATATATAAATAGAGAAGAAAGGGTGCATGAAGAAGGAAAAAAAACAATGAAGTCGAAAGAGTGACGATAAAGAATTAGAAAGAGAGAAAAAACGAAAAAGAAATAAAAGAGGAAGGCATAAAAGGCAGAAGAAAAATGCGTACGAAAGAAGGAAAGAGAAAAAAAATCTCTACGAAATAACGTAAAAGAAACAATCCTTGTAAGGAAAAAAAAACGTGATGAGAAAAGAAAGAAAGAAAAGATAAATATTAATGAATGAAAGAAATAGAAAAAAGCAAAGAAAGGAGAAGGAATTCATAAAAAAAATATATCAGAAAGAAGGAAAATTTATAAAAAAAGAACATTTTTTAAATAAAAGGAAAAAGTAATTAAGAATGAATAAAATAACTAAATAAGAAAAGAAGAATAACATGAAATATTGTATGAAGAAAAAGATGCGGAAAGAATGAGAAAAAATGTAGAAAAAAAGAAAGAAAAATGAGAAAAACGAATAAAAGCGAAAATACATGGGAAAGAAAGAAAAATAAAATTATTACATAAAAAATGAAGGAAAAGGTGGAATAAAAATACATGTGAGAGAGGGAGAGGAGGAGAGTGAGAAGGAGGGGGAGAGGGAAAGAGAGAGGGAGAGGGAGGGGGAGAGGGAGAGGGAGATAGAGGGAGAGGGAGATAGAGGGAGAGAGAGGGAGAGGGAGAGAGGGGGGAGGGGGAGAGGAGGAGAGAGACATCAGGAATGAATAAAAACAAAGAAAACAAATTAAATGAAAATAAAATACAAAAATAATTGCAAAAGAAAGGAAAGAAAACATTTAAAAACGAAAAACAACAACAAATAATTTCAGTCTGAAATTCTAGGATGAATATTATTTACGGGGCAATGGCCTAGTGGATTAAAGCGTGGGTTCTTGAATTTGGTGACATAGTAATTGAGAGAAGGAATGAGAACAGAGGAGGATAGATAAAGAAAGAAAGGCAGGCAGGCAGGCAGACAGAGAGGATAGGGAAAGAGAGAAAGAATGAAAACAGAGGAAGATAGAGAAAGAGAGAAAGAATGAGAACAGAGAAGGATAGAGAAAGACAGAAGGAACAAGAACAGAGGAGGATAGATAAAGAAAGAAAGAAAGAATGAAAGAAAGAAAGAAAGAAAGAAAGAAAGAAGGAAAGACGGGCAGGCAGACAGACAGGCAGACAGACAGAGAGGATAGGGAAAAAGAGCAAGAATGAACACAGAGGTGGATAGCGAAAGAGGAGGATAGAGAAAGAGTGAAAAGAATGAAAACAGAGGGAGGGGAGAGATAGGAGGAGAAAGAAAGAGATAGAGAGTGAGAGAAAGAAAAAAGTGTGCGAGAGAGAGAGAGAGAGGGTGGGGAGAGAGCGCGTAAAAGAAGAACGTTCGAGAACGTGAAGAAAAAAAAAGAAACATTCATAGGAAAGAATAAGAACGAAGATTGCTAAATAAATAAATAAATAAATAAAGAAAGAAAGAAAGAAAGAAAAAATCAGTGAAGAAAAAAGAAAGAATTCAAACAGCCAGAGATTGAATAGAAAGAAAGAAAGAAAGAAAGAAAGAAAGAAAGAAAGAAAAGAACAGACAAGAAAAGCATATGAACGATAGAAAATGAAAAATAGACAAAAATCTATGAAAACATATAAGTATTTAACGAAGAATGAATCCGAAAAAAAAAAAAAAAAAAAGAAATGATACTGGGTATCAGAAATGAATATATATATATATATATATATATATATATATATATATACGCATAAATAAAAACGAAGAAGAATAAGAAAAAGAAATAGAAGGAATAAATAAAGGAAAAACTACAAGAGAGAAATCAAACGAAATATATGTCAGAGATAGAAAGAAAAAAAATGTACATTTGCCGGCAAAGGGTTCCCAACCGCCCTACTCTATGACCCCACCACCTCTACTACATCTCAAGGTAGTATTCATATAAAATACAAATTCTATTGTAACCTAATTACATACAATAATGGAACATATGCGATATAGGTGAACAATTCAACTAGAAAAACTGAAAATAAATACAACGTATGTAAATACAAATTAGTGACATGTCATAATAGATTATCCTATCTTAAATAAATCAACAATGTTTTGAGGCAATTTTTAACATAAACTTAGAATTTTTCTTGTTAAAAAGTTGAATAGTTTAACACATTGAACAATAGAGATAAAAGAAATAATTGATTTTATATTGCTTTTTCGATACTTAGAATGTGCAAAAGAAATTCAAAATACATTAACGTATATAAATAATAATAATATAAATTTATAATATAAATTCAAATATATTTAAATATATTTAAATATAAAAAATAATGTAAATTCAAAATAATTTTACGGATTTGGTCGAAAAAAAAAAAAGATCTCAAAATGAAATTTCCCTGAGAAATCTTTTATCCTTTAAAGTTGTGCTGATTTTCATTTTAATGTGTATCAATGTAGGTAGAGAAAAAGCAAATGTTGATAATATAGCGAGGATGACCAAGCACTGCCCGGCGCTCCAAATCAGGCTTGCTCTTCGTACCCAGTTGAAGGTTTCGGTGGTAGTACGCACCGGCCGTGTATGAAAAGATAGAGAAGATGCATAAGAAAAGAAAACGAAAAGAGTGGGGGATGAATATGAAAAAAGAAGAAGGAGAAACATGAGAAAAGAAGAAAAACACTTAAGAAAAAAGAAAGAAAGAAATAGAAAATTTATATGAAACAGTGAAAGAGACAATGCATGAGAAAAAAAAAAGAAGGAAAAGAAAGACAAAAAGAGCGGACATCCATATGGAAAAATTGAAAAAGAAAAGTATACGAGGAAGAAAAAAAGAAGAAGAAAGAAGGAGTAAATTCGTATGAAGTAGTGAAAGAGAAAAATACGCTAGAAAATAATGATGAAAGAAAGAAAGAAATGATGAAGAAAGAAAGAAAGAAATGATGAAGAAAGAAAGAAAGACATGATGAAAGAAAGAAAGAAAAAAATGATGAAAGAAAGAAAGAAAGAAAGAACCAAGGAGACAATGCATATGATAAAGAGTAAGAGAAAACTTCATAAGAAAGAAAGCAAAAGGGAAACTAAGGAAGGGTGAAAGAGAAAAAATATATGGATTTTTGGAAGAAAATAATGCAGAAAAAAAACAAAAATAAAAAATAAGGGAAGAACTAAGGAGAAATGAAAAAAAAATGCATAAAAATTCGTATGAAAGAAGGGAAAAGAAAAATGCCCCGAGAAAGAAAAAAATAGAATGCATATGAAAAAAAGGGTAAGAGAAAAATTTATAAAAAAGAACGAAAAGGAGAAAGAAAGAGCAACGGCTAAAAAGCATATGAATATTTAAAGATAAAAACGTATAAGAAAGAAAGAAAGAAAGAAAGAAACAAACAAACAAAAAAGAAAGAAACAAAGAAAGAAAAAGAAAGAAACAAAGAAAGAAAAAGAAAGAAACAAAGAAACAACGAAAGAAAAAGAAAGAAAGGAAGAAAGAAAGAAAAAGAAAGAAAGAAAGAAAGAAAGAAAAGAAAGAAAGGATCAAGCAGGAAATTCGCCTGATAAAGGGAAGGAGAAAAATGCATGAGAAAGTAAGCAAGAAAGAAAGAAGCAAGTAGAAAGGGAAAAATGAAGAAAGGAACAATGTCTTATTGTTAAAAAAAAAATGATTGTCAAGCAAAAATGAAGGAGAAAATAAAATAAAAAAAAATGGAAGAAAATGTGTGAGAAAGAAAAGACACAAAAACGACATAAAAAGAGAGTGTCGAGAAGAGAAAAAAAAAAGATAGAAAGAAAAGGAAATCGGAGAATTGACGTCATTGGTGTGTATCCATTTTACGCACAACATAAACCATTGCTTACGAATAAGCGAAGTGAATCTCCGTCAGAATTATTGAAGTTCATTATAAATGGGAAGTTAATGTTTATAGTTTACGATTCATATATGTGATGACTAATGTACTCTCGGCCGTACACGATGAATAATTGTCACTTTGGGAGACTGCTGATGGGATTTTAACTACTGTCTCAATGTAATTCTATATATCTGCTTCTTGTTCTTACCCTCTTTCATTTCCACCCCCTCTCTCTCTCTCTCTTTTTTTTTCATCGTATCACTCTGTCTTTCTTTATCTCTTTGTTCATTTGCTAAATCGGTCTGTTTATATCCATTTTCGGTTTGTTTTATTCAGACCGCATCTAAGACTGTTTTTATCTATCTATCTATCTATCTCTATCTATCTATCTATCTATCTATCTATCTATCTATCTATCTATCTCCGTTCATAATCTATCTATCTATCTATCTCCGTTCATAATCTATCTATCTATCTATCTATCTATCTATCTATCTATCTATCTATCTATCTATCTATCTATCTAATTCTGTTCATAATCCATCTATCTATCTAATTCTGTTCATAATCTATCTATCTATGCAATTCTGTTCATTATCTATCTATCTATCTATCTATCTATCTATCTATCTATCTATCTATCTATCTCAATTCATGATCTATCTATCTATCTATCTATCTATCTATCTATCTATCTATCTATCTATCTATCTATCTATCTCAGTTCATTATCTATCTATCTATCTATCTATCTATCGCAGTTAATTATCTTTCTTTCTTTTTTTATCTATCTATCTATCTATCTATCTATCTATCTATCTATCTATCTATCGCAGTTAATTATCTTTCTTTTTTTTCTATCTATCTATCTATCTATCTATCTATCTATCTATCTATCTATCTATCTATCTATCTACTGATACTCACCCACATTATCATAATGTTTTTCCTATGCCATTTAAAAAGTACTTGGAAAGTTGAATATATTATGCATCCATGGAATTTGAAACTCTTGTGAAAACAGATTTTACTGCAGATCCGAACTGAGATATAAATTGACTGAGATGGAATGCTATGTAGGAACAGACTGGGTTAGATACCGCGATATAAATAGACACGGAATGTTCGGAGTCAGTCCTTGGATTTATGTGAGACGTGCTTAGGCGGACGGACACTACTTCATTATTCCTAGTTCACGCTACTCTCTTGAACAGTCGAAAGGCATTCGAACTAAGAATGGTGAGAAAAGGCGACAAAATTGCCCCAAGACAACAACAACATCAACACTAAAAAAAAAGCATACAAACAAAACTCGGCCAAAATAAATGATGAAACTCCTTTATCTCAGAATCTAAATAATTGAAGACAACTTTCATTGGCGTGTCTTTTCGGGATGAACCCAATCATCCCTCTCTACATGTTTGTTTTATTTATTATCTATGAATTGCTATGGATTTTGGTGAGAGTGGTTTTCATTTACCTTCTTCTACATAGGGCTAGGGAGTCCAGTCTACCCTACTATCGTCTTGGCAAAGCCAATGATCAGGAGGTTTTGAGAAGCGTGGAACCACCTCTTAATTGCTGTGTTCCCAGGTTCACCTCGACCCAGGGTGGTAGCACCTGTTAGGGTCCCAGCTACGGGCAAATAGTTAACCCCCAAATTAGGATCAAAACGTGTAAAAATAGGTTATTATACCAGAAATATTTTTTTTGGAATAATTATTACTAGAAATACATTACCAGCAATAAAAATCTTGTCGGTATCAAATCACCCACTGAAGTTGATATGCTGTAAACCAAACCAAACCAAACCAAACCAAACCTACCCTACTATTTAAACCCATAGAGTCTTGTGTAAAAGTAAACGCAACAGATTAACATAGACTTTTAACTTAGGTCTCCTAGCGGACTGTTCAAGATTGCATACGATAAGCATGGAATGATGGAAGAGGGCCTCGTCTACGTCTGTCGGTCTCCGTCTCTCAGCGAGGCAATGATCGAAGGGAGCGGTCGGGGCCACTCATATTGCGACGTTAGAGGTGAAATTCTTGGATCGTCGCAAGACGAACTGCAGCGATGGCGTGTGGCAAGCACGTTTTCCTCGATCAAGAGCGAAAGTCGGAGGTTCGAAGATCAGATACCGTCGTAGTTCCGACCGTAAACGATGCCGACCGGCGATCCGCCGGCATTCGCTTCCATGACCCGGCGGGTAGCCTGCGGGAAACCAGAGTTCGGTTCCGGGGAAATATGGTTGCAAAGCTGAAACTTAAAGGGATTGACGGAAGGGCACCACCAAGAGTGGAGCCTGCGGCTTAAATTGACTCAACACGGGAAAACTCACCCGGTCAACCATTTCCGACCCATTAAATTACCCGCATACGTAAGCCCTAAACTTCAGAATTCTTTCAAATCATTTTAACCCAAGCAAGGCAATAATGTAACTAGGACGCAAAGAAGTGAGAGAGAATGGGAAAACTTTAGTAAGGAGAAAGGACAATAAAGGAACAGAATTCAAAAACGCAAAAAATGGCTACTGATATTGCATTTAAATTTTTGAAGCTTATAGGTTGCAAGGAAGTAAGAAAGTGTAAGGGAGTCCAACAGGCGAGAAATGCGAGAAAATAAAAGATTAGAATAGAATGGATTACAATGTTCCTACGCCTTAATAATGTTTTCTTATTTTTCACGCTCAGTAACCCCTTGTATCTTAGTGGCTTTATTGCCTTGCTTGGGGTGAAATGATTTAAGAAAATTCTGAATAAGAAATTCCTTCAGAGTCTTTCAATATTTCTGAGATGAGGTATTATGTACAGTATTTAAATTAGTCGGACTATTGTCTTCATCTTTGTCGCCATATTTGTCACAACGTTTCGGCCGTTGTACGCTCCAGCCTTCTTAAGGTGGTTGGAATTTCGAACTGAACTATTGTCCTTATCTTTGTCGCCATATTTATCTGGTCCTTCAGTATCTGTCTATACTTCTGAGATGAGGTATTATGTACACTATTTACATTATTCGGACTATTGTCCTCATCTTTGTCGCCATGTTTATTCGGACTATTGTCCTCATCTTTGTCGCCATGTTTATCACAACGTTTCGGCCGTTGTACGCTCCGGCCTTCTTCAGGTGGTTGGAATTTCGAACTGAACCCTTTATTTCGATCACTGGGGTAGACTGTTCTAGTTCCACGGGCCATGTTTGATGGATGTCAGTTATCAGTTATCTCCTGCTAATTTTCCCTCTGAAAGTTCTCCACTGCCTTAACCGGGTGTTGTCAATCGTTATCTGCTGTCTTTTTGATTCCTCTTCTTTTATTGTTCTTGTTCCTAAATAATGTTTACTTATTCTTATTCTTTCACACTCAGTAACCCCTTGTATCTTAGTGGCTTTATTGCCGTGCTTTGGGTGAAATGCTTTAAAAAATTCTGAATAACAAATTCCTTTGGCTGATTTAAAAAAAAAATGACCCATGCAAGTATTTTCAATATTAAAGAGATGAGAGCCAACAATTCCTCGTATAATTGTTTTATTTGGTGATTCCTTCATGCATCAAGTGAAAACCAACTGCCCACATGCGACACATGAACACACCAATCAGTTAATCAGACGCAATAATAAACACTATACGGAAACGCCGTTTTTTGTTCTAATCATTTCATCCCAAACAAAACGATAATGTCACTATCACTATGGGAGTGAAAAACAATGAGGAGAAAGGACAATGAAAGAACAGCTTTCAGGAATACAGTAGATATACTAGTAGCATGATCCAGCGTTGCCCGTGCTTGATTCAAAAATCATACGACTCATACAGCAATCGCTATCACTTGACAAATTATTTTTGCCCTTCCTTGCCTTTAAAGGAGTGCCATTTGCCGTGCTGATGTTGCTACATGCCTTATTTCTTGCCTATCTCAAACTGCGAATTTTTTCAAAGCTCTATACTAAACATTAAATCTGCTACGAAAAAAGAACTAAACAAAATGAACACAAAACGATTAGCTTTAAAAAAGAACTCGTAACTGGAAAAACCGAATGAAAAAAGAATGTTAACAAATACTTTTTCACACCCAACCCAGTTCTGCGGAATCAGAATCAACGTTGAGTTTAAGCAAACGAATGAGCCAATTGGAGTAAAGTGCCATGCAGATTTAAATTTTTCCCACTTGTGACGAATGCAGATCTCGATTTTTTTGCATGCTAGCATGCTAGTTAACATTCATGTCAGTCAGCTGCTAGCTCTCACGCTGGCCAATAGAATCTTTCTGCACATTCGTGGCAGCCAGTTATTGTCTCTCACTCTGGCCAGTAGAAAATGGCCGCAAACTACATGAAAACTGCCGTAGAAGCATGAAAAAAATCAATTATTTCCACTATCGATGGGAGTTGGGAAATGCAAGGTCGGTCTTGGCCTTTCTGCTAACTTGGAGCATGTGCATGTAAATTTTGGTGCAAATCCAAAAAATTGTCGAAAATTGCCGTGCATTCGTTACACACACACACACACACACACACACACACACACACACACACACACACACACACACACACACACACACACATCCTGCCTTTTATAGATAGAGATGAAAATTAATCTGGTACAAGATCACAAACTTTGAGCAACAAGTACGGATTGTTCGATTATTATTTTACTGGATACTAATGGTAGTATTAGCCGTTTCCTTATAAGGCAACATTCGGCATTCATTGATCGAGAAGTTTCTCTAGTTACGCCCTTCTCCACTCTCTGCTCATCGGACTGTGATCAAAGTGTAGTATCTGTTTTCCCCAAGAAACATTCAGTATTCAATGACCGAGCGGCCAGTGCTATTGTCGGTTGAAATTTATAAAATCTTTAGATGAAAACAATTTTGACGGAAAATGTTTCTCAAGTTCAGTAAACGTTATCACTGTTTTCAGTAGTAATGGAAGTTTCTTTCCTAAGCTTTTAATTGAAGTAGTGTGAACTGTCAACATCTTGCTTATACCATTATTTTCTCTTCGAGTAATATATGCTATCAATTTTAGTTCTTTTCATTACTGAAAGTTCTCATTTTATACCGATGTCCGTCTAATACAAGGCCCAAGAGCCACTCAAGGTAGATGATTAATGTGTGATTTTGCAACAGCATAAAGAAAGGCAAGAACTAAGGTAGAGTTATACAGGAAAGATAATGGTTAACCTTTGGGGTCAAGATTGTAATGATTGGTGAAACATCCTGGCTGGGGTTTGTTCCTTAATGCAGCAGTTCTTGGATAGAAGTTATCGCAATGTGGTTTCTCTTAAGCCTGTTCTGTAGAAATTGTATCCCAAATGGGGTCACTACCGAGTCAATGCACCTGAAGTACCCCAGCATTAAGGTTAAAGCATAAATTGGAAACAAATAAAGTCGAGGGAAAATTACACATACTCTTTTTCGGATTTGTCGTTAATTTCGTGGTACGTGAGGTAGATAATTTTTACGGAAGAGCATACGTGTCAATAAGTTTGAAATAACAAACGTTTGACAAGTCATCATAGAAATCCTAGACCAAGAAAGAAAGTGATTTAAACTCTGGAAAAATAAATCTCTGGAACGTGTGTATCCTCAACTGCAATAACCATAGATTGAATTGTGAGGTCCATAAAATAATTCGAATACATCTTCTACAGAGCCATAGATTTTCACGGTTGGAAGAAAAATGTCCCTGATTTTCAATTGGATTGTGACAGCTAGTGGTCGGGGAGAAGTTGTCAGGATGGATGTGGAATTGTTTGTCGTTCTGGATAAAGGTTCTGGAAGAAGAAGAAGAAGAAGAAGAAGGGGAAAAAGAGGAAAATCATCATCAGCAGCAACAGCAAAAAGAAAAAGAAGAGGGGGAGGAGGAGAAGGGGGAAGGGAGTAGAATCATCGTGATCATCATTATCATCATCATCATCATCAGCAGCAGCAACCGTAGAAGAAGAAGAAGAAGAAGAAGAAGAAGAAGAAGAAGAAGAAGAAGAAGAAGAAGGGGCGAGGTGGCGCAGCAGAAAAAGACCAGCAGCATTAGAAGAAGAAAAAGAAGGCGTAAAAGGAAGAAGAAAAAAGAAAAAGAAAAAGGAGCAGACGGACTTGGAGAAGCAGCAGTAGCAGAAGAAGGTGGTGGGGAGAGGAAGAGGAAGAAGAAGAGTAGCAGCAGGAGTAGGTAGAGGAATAAGAAGAGGGGGAGCAGCGGCAACAGTAAAAGCATAAGAAAGTAAAAATGAGAAAGAGAAGGAGGAGCAACAGAAGAAGAAGAAGAAGAAGAAGAAGAAGAAGAAGAAGAAGAAGAAGAAGAAGAAGAAAGTAAATGGGAAATAATTTTGAAGTTTTGAGGCATTTGTGCACCTTGAAGTTTTGAGGTATTTATAAGGTTTTCGGAAAGGAATCCACAATTTGGGAAACTGAGAATAAATCAGGAATGAAGAAAAGGGACGACCTGAAGAAGAAATCGAGTAGAAGAAGGAAAACCGAAACAGCTTAGATATTTGAAACTAGAGAGAGAAAGAGAGAGAGAGAGAGAGTGTGTGAGAGAGAATATTTTGAAAGTAGGAGAGAAAGAAAAAGGGAATAAAAACGGTAGAGAATAAGAGAGAGAAGTAGTCATAGCAATAAAGAGAGATGGAAATGTAACTGAAGAAGGGATGAAAATGCTAGATGTATAGTTTAAAAAAGAAGAGGATTTGAGAGAGAGAGAGTAATATAATAATAGAAAGTACACTAGAGAGAGAGAACGAGTGAGAGAGAGAGAGAGAGAGAGAGGGGGGAAATGTAGACAACAATATATATATATATATATATATATATATATCAATTCAACCCAAGCAAGACAACAAATCCACTAAGACGTAGGGGAGTTAGTGATTGTGAGAAAAAAAAAGAAAAAAGAAAAGAAAGAAAAACACTATTAAGGCGCGCAAACAATAAGACAACAAGAATAAAGAAGAGAAAATATGACTGTTGATACTGTCTGACAATTTTGAAGATCAATTTTGGCTGGAAAAGTCTGAAACCGGAAGTGCGTTCTACAAAAATGAAAATGATGAGACTCTTCTACCAATCTAGTACTGCGCTGAAATTCATAAAGTCCAGGCACCATAGAGGAAAGATCACTGGAAGAATTACCATGAAAGTATTTAAAGAAATGGCACAGGGCAGCTAAATTACTTTGGTGGGAAAGTGAAGCTGAGATGACAGGTCAGGACCAATGACATTGCAGATTCTTCTTTGGATTTTATCAAGAAACTTTATATATATAGCAGAAGAACTAGACCATATATAACAGCAATATTCAAAGCATGGACGAATGGTAGACTTATAAATATGTAAGATAGAATCCGGCGAGAAATATCGTCTAGCCCAAAGCAGTGAACCAGCTTTCCTAGGAGTAGTTCTAACAATTGATTCAATATAATCTTTCCACGTCATGTCAGCGGAAAACGATAGCTCGAGAAGTCGAAACGAATGACTCTCGAAATGATGGAAGGCAAGTAGTATTCACTCAGACGAATAAAAGAGAACAGTTTCTTTTGGGAGACGTTAAAATTAACAAGCCATTCGTTGTATCACAACTCTTCAGTGTGGCTAGACGTCCGGTTGCCTCTAGTTAGGATCAAGCCATTTGTTCGCCGAGTTATATATTAGTTATTTTCGATAAGCAATGATTTTATAGTGACTTGATATATTATAAAAATAACGGGTAAACATTTATCAACCCTATAGAATAACTGAAAACAACCGCATTGGGATTCACAATAATTTCTAATCAATTTCTTATAGAATAATTTTAAATATAATCGTTAGTGTCTACTTAGTAACTGTTACGATAATATAATAGACTTTTATTGTCCAGCATATATAAATAATTTAGCCAACTATATATATTGAGTCCGACCAAAAATGGATACATACTTCAGGAAAGGAAAAGAATTGTTTTTCGTAGTTTTATCAAATAGTAACACCATATACTAAAGGACGTTGTGTATCATAGAAAATCTGCTACGCTTGGGGCCCTTAGACAAGAAGTTGAAATACATGTGCAACAATCTCACTGGACAGTTTGGCCAACTTTGCCAAAGTCGTAGGTTGCCGTACTAATGAATGCCTGGAAGCTAAAAGCCACCATTTTGTTCAAAGGTCATTTGTATTGCTCTCGTGAAGTCTAAATAAATTTACTATTACAATATCTATACATTTTTTTTCCTTTTCTGGAGTGTGTATACATTTTTGGCCTCTCTCTCTCTCTCTCTCTATATATATATATATATATATATATATATATATATTGTCATCCACAGACAGACTGTTTCGCTGTATCACAGCTCTTCAGTGTGGCTAGACGTCCGCTTGCCTCTAGCTAGGATCAAAACCCAGCTGAAATGACGTCAGTCCGGGATTCTACCCCTAAGCCGTTGGCACACGGCAGGGAATGAAGGGGAATTTAAGCGTATTTATTTTTAGATAAACACACAGTGACTGAGAGGACTTGATTCGCTTATCGAAGAGTCCTGCATTATCAGCCGTAATAATCACTGTTTACAAACCCCCACTCCCCCCCACAGAGAGCTCAACCGAAGCAAATATTTCAGGAGCCTATATATTGTCATCCACAGAGAGACTGTTTCGCTGTATCACAGCTGTTTATTATACATATATATCTTATATATATATATATATATTAATTTATATTTATAATATACCATTTATGCACATACATATGCAAGTATATATACATAAATACGCACACATACACATATATATTTTTTTTTGCATATATATTATTTTATATACGCATTACTTATTGCAAAGTGCTCAATATCAGTGAGAGACCTAAGATATTCAATTGTATGGATATGAGTGTGATTCTGGGTGAATTTCCCACTCCCACAACCAAATATAATCAAACGCAAACAAGCATAAATAGATTCAATTTAAAAAAACAAAAAAAAAACAAAAAAACAAACAGCTTGTCTGATAATCGCAAATGCGTGAAACCCAGGTCACAAACTCATATTTATACAATATATATATATATATATATATATATATATATATATATATATATATATATATATATATATATATATAACACTTTTATCACACACACACACACACACATACTTATACACATATATATATATATATATATATATACACATATATATATATATATATATATATATATATATATATATTATATAACATTTCATGGGTCGGTTCTTTCAATCTATCTCCGAAGGATGATTTCATCTTTGTTTTTCTATTTGCCTGCTTTGAACACCGTGCTCTCTTCTTGTACAAGGTGCGCCCTCAGACAGGTGATGGGCGTTTTGCCATTTTTTATGACGTGTTCAATGACAAAAAAAAAATACACAAACGAGAATGTCTTTGACGTTGCACTCTGTCAGTCGAAGCGTTTTAGCGCGCGCTGCCGGCCCTCTGCCTTTGCATCACTGCCAGTCTGCATTCATTACCATGCCGAGAGACCAATGGTACACCCACTCACTCCATCATCGTCACCATCACCCGCCAAAAACACAGAAGGGCAAGTAATGTTTACCCGAATCTTTCATTCGTATAGTTTTCATCTAATATTTGTACTAAGTTTCGTCCAATACAAGCCCCAAGAGTCAGTCAAGGTAGAGATACTGAATGTAAGAGGAGTTACAAGGAAGAGTAGGCTGTGATATTAAGGAGAATTCTTGACATGATGAGGTTATGATTGCACTATTCAGAAGAGCAACTACGTAGGACCGTGTTCCACAGAGTAGTGGTTATTGGAAAGAAGCTTTCACACTGGAATGCTCTTCTTATTAAAGGAATACGGAGGGAATAACGATGATTCGACCATGTGGACGTAGCAAGATGGGTCTTTTCTGTAATGGTGCGAGCTGTTGTCACTAAAGGATAGAATTTATCTAAAAATTTTTCATGGAATTCGTGCTAGAGTAGTGATAAGCTTCCAACGTAGTAGAATAGAATAATGAATAATGGAAAATCGATAGACGAATTTGCAATATTATTGGTCCTAAACTAGCATCTCGGTTTCAGTCATTTTTCTACTACCGTAACATAGCTTCCCTGTGTCTTTTCTATAATTTTTTTCTTGGTAATTGTTCTGATGAGCTTCGTCCACAACAAGACCGTGTAAATGATTTTTAACTCTGTCAAGTCTAGAAATCGATGATTGTGTAGCTCCAGCTCAAATATGGCGGAAATACTTCAATTAGTTTGATGCTTGTAAAGATAAAGCATAGCGGAAAGCGTCTACTACTTTTTTCGTGCCGTACAACCAAGTGACTATCAATTGCTGCAAAGAAAAGTTCGTTAATTGTGTTGTGCTAGACAATTTTTCCCGCCAAAAAATATCTTACATATTTATAAGTTTACTATTCCTTTATGCATTAACTATTTCTACAATTTTATTGGTTCTAACATGGCATCTCGTCCTCAGTTACGAATATGAGTATGTTTGTTTAACGACATATCAACTCATTATGGGTCATTGAAATTTGATTTTCTTGGTAGCAGTAGTATTTTTTTTTACAAAAGTGTATTACAGGTAATATTTATTTTGTTATTATTTTTTTACAAAAAATGTATTGCTGATAATTTTTTACTATGAAGATGTATTGCAGGTATTTTTACTATAAAAGTGTTTATAGTATTTACATTAGTCGGACTATTGTCCTCATCTTTGTCGCCATATTTGTCACAACGTTTCGGCCGTTGTACGCTCCGGCCTTCTTCAGGTGGTTGGAATTTCGAACTGAACCCTTTATTTCGATCGCTGGGGTAGACTGTTCTAATTCCACGTGCCATGTTTGATGGATGTCAGTTATCAGTTATCTCCTGCTAATTTCCCCTCTGAAAGTTCTCCACTGCCTTAACCAGGAATTGAACTCACCTTCTTTGGGTCTGTCACTGGATCTAACCAACGCCTTTATCCACTGAGGACATCTGGGTATGAACTTCTGAGTATTATAAACCTAATATTTTCAGCGTCATTTTTTTACCAGTGCTCATATTGCAATTTTGCTGTTATCATTGCATGTCTTTACCAGAGTTCATATTGCAACTTTGTTATCATTGCTTTTCTCTGGCACTCCTTATTACTGGTTCCCATATTGTATTTATTTCTATGCTTGGTCGGCTCAGGAGATTTTTGTGGCCTAGCATATGTGCTGATTCCTTAAGTTTACGAATTTTCCAATGGTGTTCCCTGTCTATGATCTCAACATGATCCCACAGGGGGCGGTGATCTCCCTTCTCTACCCCAGCGATCGAAATAAAGGGTTCAGTTCGAAATTCCAACCACCTGAAGAAGGCCGGAGCGTACAACGGCCGAAACGTTGTGACAAATATGGCGACAAAGATGAGGACAATAGTCCGACTAATGTAAATAGTGTACATAATACCTCATCTCAGAAAAATAGACAGATACTGAAGCAAAGATGAGGGCAATAGTCCGAATAATGTAAATAGTGTACATAATACCTCATCTCAGAAAAATAGACAGATACTGAAGCAAAGATGAGGGCAATAGTCCGAATAATGTAAATAGTGTACATAATACCTCATCTCAGAAAAATAGACAGATACTGAAGC